ATATATATATATATATATATAGCTAGCTTAAATGTATATACAGCTACAAAAAAAAGTTTCATTGTAGTATTCTAGTTGGTTAACATTTGGACAGGTTGACCTGCTAGACCATCAGTAGTTACAACTGAGTGTGGTATTGTAATACAGCATCAGTTGGCCTTATGTCTGAATATCAGACTGTAAGACAGTGTCAGTCGGTTGCAGTGAGCTACATTGGACTGTAATACAGCTTCCAACAGTCAAAGTCTGCATTGGTCAGCCTTTAGTGTGACCAGTCATAATTAATATATTCACTCTTTAACAAGTACAAATATGTAATTTGTATAAACACGCTAAATACCAGTGGAGTCAGCATGCATTAGAATTCAGTTCTGCTCTTATGGCACTTGCATGATATTCTCCTCTTGTAGATATTTTGCTTGATTGTAAAATATATCTCATATATATTTTCTGGTTGGCTTTCACAAAATGGATAAAAATAGTGCTGGTTCAAAGCCCATGCATAGAAAGATAAACAAGTATTTTCCAACTGAAGAAAGTGACACTGATAACGAAATATAGAATTCCTTCAATATAACTGAATATATAGCTTAAGTGTACATACACTGCCAAAAAGTTTCATGGTTGTATTTCAATTTTCACTTCTTTTCATGCAGTAATTTATGTGAGATCAAATTGCTAACTTATAGTGAAAAGTGTAACAAGTTGTTTAAAATGTTGCAAACTGTTTACATAATCCATCTATGCAAGCATACGTAGTAAGGTGTTAAAGAACAATATTAAAAGGGATAAAGAGAATTAAATTATTTCTTATTACGTATTGGAAGTTTAAAGTATTCAAGTATAAATATGTACTTTATTTACTGCAAATTAATAATAAAGTAAAATATGGTTACCAATCCTGACTGTTCTATTATATGCTACATCAATTTACCAGCAGTTTGTCAAAGTATAGAATATTGTGACCCTAAAGGAGAAAAGATATGCATACTATGGTGAAATTGTGTAACTGTTTTAATGGGCATTACAGTCTGCTAAAAACAAAGGCCTGAGGTGGCAAAATATAAATTCATTGTACTAGTTAATACATTCACCACACATGTACTACCTACACATATGCACATCACCTAAAACGCTGAAGCACATACATTTAGTTGGAGTCAGCGTGCATTAGAGGTCAGTTCTGCTCTGATGGCACTTGATGATACGTCTCCTATTGTAGATATTTTGCTTGATTTTAAAGTATATTTTACATATATTTTCTGGTTGGCTTTCACAAAATGGATAAAAATAGTGATGATTCAAAGATGCCTAGAAGAAGAATTCAAAGTCTCACAGAAACTCTGATGGTGACAAATATATTACTGTTTATTAGACAATTTGGAGAATTTGTCTTTCTCAGAAAGTAAGAACAAGTATTTTTCAACTGAAGAAAGTGACATTGATAACAAAGAATAAAATTCCTTCAATATAACTGAATGAATCATCACTTGAAAATGAATACAGCAAGCCTAGTGCAAGGCCTAGTGATGCTGGTACAGCAATATAGTGGAACTCCAAGGTTAAAAGTTGACACTCCATTCAGTTTTTTCTCTTTGTTTACTAATGAGGAGTTTTACAACCTTTTAGTTATTAAAACAATGCATATTCTGAAGAGTTATGTTTTCATGGAGCATATGAAAATTCATACATTACACAACAGAACAATATTATTCTTGATGAGCTGAAAGCCTTTTTAGGGTTATTGCTTCATATGGGACATATTCAAACGAGATATTCCCATGACTATGATTTATCCTTACCAAAAACCATAACAAGATATAAAACATAGGTGATGCACAAGTACATCACGTAGCACTCTAAAAATTTTAGCTGCATTGCCAATGATACTAATGTGCATCATCATACATATTTTAGTTAAATATGCATATATGCCCATAAATACTCTATATGATATTACTTTGCATTATTAAAGTGCTTCTACTAAAACAAAACAAAAGCATCTGACATGAATATTGATCTCTGAAGTGTAAATGAATGTGTTACGCATATCTATGCTAGAAACTGAAAATATATTTTCTTTTTCAAACTACTAGTGCTCCTGAAATCACTGAAAGTGATGTGGAATCTTCAACAGATGTTTGTAATGTCTACCCAGCTTTTCTGATGTTGATGGTGAAAACAGACTTAGAAGCAGTCTAACTATTCCAGAGCTGATCCTTTACATATTAGGAAACAAAGGCTTGTCTGATGTTCCTATTCCTAAATGGACTAGTATAACTAGAGCTGAGGCACTGTGTATTGTCATGAATTATGCAATAATACACATATTTACTATCTTGACAGATCTTTTTAAACTAATAACAGAAACTAATGGCTGTCCTCTTCATATTAGAAAAATCAACAAAAAAAAAACGGGTTTTACAAAATTTCTTCTCACTCTACCTTAGTAACCCATATTTGTTGTGTAATTTTTACCAGTTCTACATATCCAGATTTGAGCAGGACAAATTAGAAGCTATCCTATACACCTGCAAACAAAATCTTTCACAGTAAAGGAAGTGCAGAATAGTAACTTTTTTAAAAATCATGATTCTTATTGCTCTACAAATACAGTCCCTTCTTCAGGACTCTGAAATATCTGAATTATTGTCATATAAGCACACTATTTAGAATGGTAGATTTATGATGTATATCATGCTCAAATGTATAAAAACTTTGCAAACCTAGAAATATTCTTACTATACTGTGATGTGAAAGGCTAATCCTTTCTCTACCCAATCACATCCAAACTCGTCTTAGCTGTTTTCAAAGCTGTATTTCATTAATAAATGATCAAACCACTTCATGTGACTTCGTACAAAGGTGTCAACCAAGGCTTGTTTGTACAAACTGCAAAAAGACATGGAAAATGCATGAAAACCAAGAAATGGATCAAGGGATGATAAGTTCTTATAAAAAGTAATGTTATTCTTTGGGATGGGCAGAAAAAGTCCAAAAAAAAAACTGACAAGTGAGTTGTTTACAAGCAAAACTTCTCGGAACTGTGCAGAAATGAAAACTTATGTTCTTTTCATCTTTCTCATTAATTACATTAAATAAATGTTAGAAATATTTGTACTCAAAATGTATGTAAAAGTTAGAATTAACATATAGAATTGACATTAATCTATAATTCTAATGTTGTACATGAAAATGTACATCATAAATGCAAAATAACACACAACCTGTAACAAGCTGAAGATATATTTAAATATTTTCCTGCCTTTCTCCATACAAAAGAACTTATTTCCAGAAGACTAAAACTACTGAATTTTTGTTGATGAAAATAAAAATATTACTTTGACATTTTCAAACTTCTTCTTCTATAAAATTGATAAACTTTATTATCCTACAAAAAATAATTATTGATTAGAAAATACAATTCCTTTAGGCATAGATCTACATCAGGTGTCAGTTAACTGAATATGTCTTCCATTGTTAGAAATAAAATTTTTCAAAACACATGTAGAAGTTTGACAAATAATAATGGTGTTCCTTGAAAAAAATTAAAGAAAAATGAGAGCTAGTGAGTTAGTGTACTTATTTTAAAGATTTTTCCAAAACAAATAAAAAATACTAACTGTAGAACCTTTTTGACTAATTAAATTTTTTCCATGTTTAAAAAGATGTTCAAAAGTACTCCCTCTAGTGAGTTCTGATATTTCTTTACTTAATTTTCTGTGGACATTAGTATTATTAGTCAAATAAAGCTAATTACCTTAATATAATATGTATTAAAAATATTTTTTAAGTGCCCTCAGAATAGCACTATGTTTCACATTGTGAGATTGATTATAAATAAGTGACTAGTGAGATTACTAGTACATATAGGTTAGCATAAGTTAGATAAACTTAATTCTTGGATTTGAGTTTACAATTTTACATGAATACAACTATATGAAACTAATCAATCCCATGGTGGTGAACAGAATGTACACAATTACATTTAGGTGATAAGCACATAGATACTTCAGGTACAGCTTCACTGTACAAAGGCTCACTAAACTTAAAAGCAAGTGTCACTTATACTTGTTGAAGGTAGAAGAGAATGAAATTACTATGGGTATAAGATCAGTAATTATTTGGTACACAGTATTCACTATTTTAGTGCACAGTGAGTAAAAAATTAATTACTTTGAATCAGCATGCCTCATTTTATACTCTTAATTACTGGTTTATTTGACATTGCACATTTCTTCTTGGACTGCTGACTAGACAGAAGCCAAATGGCTGCCTTTTTTTTTTTTGGTTGCTTGTAGATACAATGGTTTGAAAAACACTGTACTAATCATTTAATTGAACAGAAGAAATGAGAGGAAATCGAGTAAGAGCAAATATCAGAGAGATGCATGGATCATTGTCATCAGTCACAATCACCTGGAATTAGGTACCACACTGAGACAGTGCAATGAGTTACCACGACTAAGGGCAGTAGGCCCAAGCCTGATATGAGGGCAGGCACACTATCATTTTTTTTTGTAAAGTGCAGAATGGCCTGGAAGAGATATATATATATATATATATATATACAGAAACCACCAAAGTAGTCTTACAGAAAACCCCATCTCAACAGCAGACACTAAGAAGGGTTGAACTGGGCTTAACACTTTCTGTATTCCCCCCTCAATGTATATTTTGGATAAGTATTCTCTGTGATGCAATATGGCCACTTGGTGGGTTCTATCATCTCCATCATTTTTATATATAATGAATAATGTGGTTGTGAGACCTGAAAAAACTCTCCATCAGAGCCACTGTGAAGTGTGGAAAAAAAAAAGTGACTGGAGGGAGACAAAAGCCAAAGTAGATGAAACCTCTCTGTTGTGTACGTAATGGAATTCTAATTTGTTGGCATGCATCCACATCTTCACCTGCAAGATCTCATAGAGGAGACATCAATGGTTAGATGCAAGAGAAGCCATGAGATAACAATCATGGTGGAAGAAGAGATGAAAAATAAGGGTCATCACCCACAGAACAAAAAACTAGTTGGATGAGGTGTATAATCCAAACAGGAAAAATGGAAGGGGATAAGTTACTAGAGGAAAAGAAATCCCATGCCAAGAAAAGACACTGGAAAATATTCTGTACAGATGATATGGATCAGAATGACCATATAGGAAGGGAAATGAAGGGAAAAAACATCCAAACATTCTCCCAAGCCACTCAAATTTTGGGATGGTTCAAGAAGAAAATGAACCTGTCTCTGTTAAAAAAAATGGGGAGGATGTCAAGACAAAAGTGAGAAGCTCCCTCAAGGACAAAAAAAGTAGAAATATGTCCAAAATATATAAAAAGAAGTAGAATTGCATAAGACACAAAGCATCCTCAGCCAGAGCTGTATAGTCTGGGAGTGGATACCAAATTAGTGAAAGTGAAAAGGCAGTGATGATAGGATGCCCAAAGTGGGAGCAAATCCACTAAAAACACTATGGGATGAAGAAACCACTCAGTGGAAAGAGACCACGCTTTATGGAGGTAGTCGATCCACCAATAAGACCTGAGGCTATATACAATGAAAAACTTGATGGAGCTCCCTAGTCCCAAGAGAAAGAAACCAAAGTAAGCAGAAATGACTGCAGAAGAGCTCTATCAGCTCAAGATGCCAATATATATAAGAATCCCTACCCACCCTAAAAAAAATATATAATACAAAAAACATCATAAGCAAAAAAGATGCATGACAGAGGTCCTGAAGAGGAGATTGAGGGAGGTGAAAGCCAGAAGTAAAGCAATCTGACAAAATACATCTAGAAACAAAGAAATTAAGTTAACTGGGACAGAATGAAAGAAAACTTAAAGCAAGATGAAAAACAGTTACATGCAAACTGCTTCAGTAGAGTTTATAGTTGTGATGGAATGAATGAACAAAGAAGTTGTGAAGAAATAAAGATGATTAGATGGGGAGAAAGAAAATGGAAGGAAAAACAAGGCTCTTGCAACAAATAAGCCCGAGATTCGGCAAAATATTAATGGACAATGTGAAAACAAAAGACACATATCCGTGGAATCCAAGTAGTGAAGGGCAAAAATGGGAATACCTGATCCATGTTGGAAAGAGGAATATTATGCAAAAGCAGGCATAAAGAAACTGGCAAATGAGGTGAGATTTGGGGTTACAAGGGTACTTTCAAAATATTGGGCAAAATGTCCAAATTGTTCGTTATCAGAGTAGTGGCAGTGTTGTTATTTAATTGAATTTTATTTATGGTGTTGTTTGTGACATATTTAAATTTATGCCAGAATTTGGAAGGTTTGGGTTTTGATTTATCTATTGATAGGCAGAAGTTTACCTAGTTGTAATGTTGTTGTTGTAATACAAGTTTCTTAATAAGATTATATTCATGGCATTAATGGATGGTTTAAGCATAATGTCACACATTCGTATGAAGTCGTCTGCAGGTAATTATTAATTTATGAATTTCAATAATAAGTTTCCAGGATCGTAGGTCAAGAGTTGTTAAATTGCTTGGAGATGCTTCTTTGATGGCTTGGGTTATGGCACTGATTACATCAGAGGCATAATTATCGATTTCGGTTTGATTGTTCATGGCTGTGGTATGCCTTGTTTAATGGCTAGGCAGTTCAGGACTCCATGGCTTGTGAAATTGACATGTAAAAATGTTAGCATGCTCTGCACTGTGCACCTGGGAAACATTCTAAATAGTATTCATGAATGAAAGAGGAAATACATCTGTGGAAAGAAATATTACTGCCCTATGGACAATGTGTTAGAGTGCATTAGAAGTACTTTATGCGGAGTAGGATTTCCATGAATAAAACTTGGAGTATAAATAAATAATAAAACTTACAATAACTGGATTAGTATATTTGCCAGTTGTTTTATGTGTACAAATTTAACATTTGCATTATGTAAGCAGTTATTAAAAACACAAATTGAATGATGGATAAAAAAATGGCTGTAAAATCCATAGATCAGATCTATTATTTCCAGTAAGAGTATTGGTCTTTTGGTGACAAAAAGTTCTGATGCTTTTCAAGCATTTTTGGCCTTTCTAATACAATATATATATTTTTTAGTTTATGTTCTAAGAGACGTTTTACTTAAAAAAAAAAAAAAAACTCCAAAAGAATGGAATTTACATAAATTTTGTGCTAAGGTCCAATTCGAGTTATGTTAAATTCTTGCCTGACAAACAGGGCTAGATACCCAGCTATTTCATTTCAGAAAATTTTAAACTTTAACTGGCCAATTTTTATATGATTTGGGTGACTTTTATGCCTTGTTTTCTACAATGACTGAATATCTTTCAGAAACACTGGTCTGCTGTGGGTAAACTCTTATTCGTAAGTACAAAGTCCTTTTGTAAACAACAATATGGCAATATCTACAAAATATAAGTGATCCCAAGAAAGAAATTATTTCAATATCTATTTTGATTAGGAAAGGACACTAATTTAAGATTAACTCATCACCACCTAAGCCATTTTAGAGCTATTTGCATGTTTCCATATGTTGCTAATTTGAGGATTTTGCTTATTATAAATTCAAATTCATGAACAACTAATAAACAGCTGTTTCAGGATATGAAAGAACTGATTGCTATAAAGTTAGTGGTGATGTAAGTTGTAAGATTTTTCCATCTCACCAAAAGTGTTTGACATTTTATTGACAAATATGTGTCAGCTAGATGGTAGTAGGTTCTAT